TATTTATCAGAGTTTATTAGTTTGGTGGATCGATTTTTATGTAATGGGTATAAAGCTATTCCAGGGTAAACTGTTTACATATGTTTTTTCATTTTTGCAAATGGACAACTTAAAAATGGTATTTTTGCAATTTTTGCAAATGGACAACCCAAAAATGACATTTTTGTAATTTTCCCTATTAAGAATGTGAAAAATATGTATTGGTTTTGATTTATATTATAGATATTATTGTCGATATTTTTTTTGTTAATAATATGAATTTTCAAAAGTTTAGTTTACTATTTTATTATTTCATATACATAAATGTATAGACGTGTTGTCAAAGTTAAATGTATATTTTATTATTTAATACATATAAGTGTACAATATTATAAATAAAAGATTTTCAATGGTAAATATACAAAAAAAAGAGTTAATTTACTAAATCAATGAATAATGATAATCAATGAATAACCTATCAATTGATAAATAAGTATTAATTGTAAAACCTTCGATTTTTCTTATATATTTGAAATATCTAATGATTAGGAATCAACCAGTCGTTGGAGGTTGTGGAAAATTATCACGAAACATGATCTACTACTAATAGCATAACACAAATATAAAAATACATGGAAACAAATCACCTGGTGATAGTAGCCTTTCACGAAAAACCTAAATTGGGTTAAACAAACTATAAGCATAATTCAATCATGGAAAACCTTAGAAATCGAGTGGAGTTATAAGAGATCAGTTAGTAGGATTCTCAGTATACGTTAGCAGTACTAAAAAGACTCAAAACTCATCCTCCTATGTTTCTCCCTCATCGAAGCATGTGCACGAAGTCGGCAGAGTTAAAGACAATGAATTCCGGCAGAAGGAAAGTAGTGCAGAATTAGACATAAAAATATATTGATAACAAATTTGACTTTTTATTTGTGATCCACCAATCGTAAGTGCCAAAGATCGGAAGTTTCCTAAAGTGCTGTGAAGACGTTAAACAAACAATTCATTCATTCTAAAACTCTAAAGCGATGTCCAATTGTAAGAAAATGAAAAATAGGAAGAAAGAGAAGAAAAATGGACAACTTTAATTATAAGAAGACATTACCCTCAATTTCTTCATAGAAGAATATATGCCTCAACAGAAGCTGCACAACCAAGCTTTGTTAAAGTCAGTCATTATCAATGTCACTAAACAGACAAATAATTTTGAAGATGACACTAAATAGTATAACTTTCAAGAAAATAATCTAACATCATCCATCGTAGTGAGGTATATTCAATTAGAAACTATTTGCAGTATAGAGAACACAAAATTATTAAAAACCAAACTAAATTTATCTTTCTTTTCATGAAACTATACTGCAAACATGGAGTGGTACCAACATGTAATAGACATCGTAAAGAAAATTTATAGTGATAAATTAAAAACAAAGTAACAAGAATAACTTGTTAAGCCAATGCTTTTACATTAGAGTCGAAGTATAATCATCGTATCCGGGAAAGGGTATTTCACAAAAAAAATCAAATAGCAATAAGCAAACAGATTGGAGAAGACTCGATCCTAAATTTGGAGAAGAGACCTAAGAATAAAAATGCAGGCTCTAAAATGCTTTATCGGTCACATACGTTGCATTTCCAGTATAGAGAAAATTCAAATAGCCATTTTCTCAAAGAGAAAACGTATAGAGAGTGAAGAAGGTTTTGACCAGACGAGACAAAGGAGACCACTAAGAGAGGGTGATACGATGAGATAGATGAGGAGTTTTTTTTTGGGATTCGTTGTCGAACCCTTTCTTTTTACAGAAAACGTTTTTCGGGTTTGAAGATAATTTGATTGATTTAAGCTAAAAACATCTTAGGGTAAGAAATTAAACCTCATACATCGTGATTTGTTTTTTTTAATCTCATCAGTTTTTCCTTCTGGTCTGTCGTGAAATTGGGACTTGTGGTCCAAGCTAGGGAAGAGAAAATCTCAGTCGACCGATTCAATAGATTTTGCATAGAAGTCATTAGGATTTGCGAAGGGAAATTTGAGTTGTACCCTCATCTGAATGCGCAGTCCTCGTCATAGGTTTGTGATATTGAGAATCAGTGTCGATGGAGGAGAGGTCTTCGAGTTAGATGATAATAGAATAAGATTTGACGGTTTCAGACCCTAATACAAGTATTAGAAGAAGCAGAGTAATTGCTTTTGGCTTCGGTTTTGATTTCTTTTCGTATTCCTAGAGATTGAATAAATGTTCGAAGGAAGACGAAAAAAATGACGACAAAAAGCTGAAGAGCTTAAATCGAGTTTGCAAGTTGTACACGTGGCAAAAGCTTGTATGATGACGTGTAAGAAGGATGGAAAAGGTTCTTTCTTCTTTCTTATA